TTAAATTAGAGTAGAGACTAGTTTAGATAGTAGTATGTAATTTTTACAAAGCCTGATACAGGCTTATAATTGTGACCGTCCGTTGTGGATATATTCCATATTTTTCTTTTTTTTCGTTTTTTCCTTTACCCCTTTATTTTTTTGTTTGTATCTTTTATCGTATTCCCTTATACCTCTGTGTTTTTTTTATAAAATGTTTTTTCTTTTTCTTTCACTTCTCTATGAGAAGATATCATCAGATTGGTGATATCCTATTGTAGGGCGGTGGTCAGACGAGCCTCCGTCTAGAGTATTATCTTAATTAATCATACCTCTGCGGTGCAGCAGGTCACCTGTAGGTGTGTGTAAGTAATCGGTTAGATTATACGAGGTAACCGCAAGATATCAGGAACATAGTTTTATTGCTTACAGCTTTCACAAGAAGAGCTCTAAATAAACAGGATTCACTGGTGTGACTTTGCCTAAGTAAAAAAAAATAAAAAAAAATTATATTATAATTGTCAGCAGTATGTACATATGTATATACATTGTCTGCCTAAATCGTGATGCAATAAAGTAATTAATAGGAAAGAAGTAAATGATCATAGTTGAATAGTAATCAATGTTTTTTCGCTCATGCAAAGAATTCACAAACAGAAAACAGCCTTCTTTCGCTTGTGCAAAGGATTCACATATAGTGTTTAAAAAGATAATATCTAATAAAGAACTCAAGTAAAAATTGAATCTTATTGTGTAGTGTAACAACAACATTTACAGTATTTACAGCAACGAAGATAATTGATGAAGCAGCTAAAAAATCCAAGAAAACATGAATATAATGGAAGATTGTACTTTTGAGTCTGTTGGCTTCACGACATCCTTCAATTCTATGACACAAAGGTTCAGAAGATCAATAGATATATTTCATAGCTACATGTCAGATTATTTCTAACTGATTTTAAAATATTATTAGGTAGTTCTCTAGAAATTGATGTAGTTTCAGATTTAGAAAGATTTTTAAGCAATCTAGCTATAGAAATAAACTCTGAGGTTATGCAAAACCAAAGCTCCCAAAGGTATTAATTATCTATGTTGGTTTATTGAACACTGTGTTCATCAAAATTTAGTTGTAGTATATTGATCTTTAACATTAATTATTCACGCTTCTCTATGATTACATAAAGGGGTTTTTTGACTTATAATTAGAGATGTGCCATTTATATGGTACCCTGAATTTTTTCGCATATAGTACATATAGTACATATAATGTGTATTTATCGATTTGATTAGCTGGTAGAAATACTGTATGCAGCACATCTCTACTTATAATTATTCTAATTAGTAAAAAAGAAAAGAGTTATATTTTATCTTTATTTCACTGGCAGTGCTTGTTATTCTCCAATAATTCTTATTTTTATTTTTAGTGCATTTTAAATTTTTATATGTACTAAATTTAAAAGGAATTTTTAGATTGTATGATAGTTTTATTTTGAAGTATTATTTAAACAAAGATCTTAAAATTCTTTTGTCATGTGATAGAACATAATAAAGTTATAATTCTCTTAGCTAGTGAAAATATCATATTATTATAGTCAAAATTTTAGATTTTTTTTAAACTAATGTGATTAAAAGGTCATTTAGGTTGAAAAACCCTGGCATAGAATCATATTAAGTGAAGAATAATACACTTTGATTATCTGGTGCTTTTCAGGCTCCTGATAATTAAAAAATTTACTTCTTATACCTGAAGTAGATTAGTGGTGGCAGAAACAATCCTCAGTGACGTAATTTCTAAGCCTTTTAAAGCTTCACAAATTATGACCCAGCTTTGAATATTCCGCATGATAGTTTAATTTATTAGTTGAATCAAGATTTATAAATTTTATACTCTCAAAGATAAATAATTAACTATTTCAATGCATTGTAAACAAAATTGAAATTTATTTTTTCTAAATATTTACTTTAATATCATTCATGTTTAACTTATATAAATTATTAGTCTATCTTATGTATATAATTAATTATTAAAAAATTGACATTCATGATTATCAAATTATATTAATTGCTAGCATATCTTATATAGTTAATTATTAGAATAAAATTAATTGTATTTAAGGTTATTCAGTTATATTAAATTACAAGCCTATTTTTATTTAACTTGGTTTATTTAACTTGGGCGCAAAATATTTAGGATTATTAAGTTATTTTAAATTACTAGTCAATTTTAGACAAATAATTAATTATTGAAATAAAATTTACTTTGTGCGTGATATTTAGGTTTATCTGACAATGATTTAATCGTTAAAAATGAATATATAATTTTACTATAATAATTCATCTCAACAATATATTTAACTATTTAAAGTAAAATTTAGATAAATAATTTTTCATTGTAATGATTAGTTTATATAATGAATATAATAAAATTTTTTAATAAAGATTAACTTCAACTATAAAAAAAGGATTGATAAAGTCTATGCATTTTTAGTTAATACGTATATTTAATACTTAGCTTTTTCAATAGTATTCATCTTATTATTAATTCATTCTAGTTCAAACTTTGTAAAACTTTCTATCTATTCTTAATTAAATATTTTTTTAACCAAATGTCTAGTTCAAGCAATACAGACAAAATCAAAAGTTGTTTTCAGTGTAATAAAATTAAATTGATCCCTGAATTCACGAGAGAAAGTAGAAATAAAGTGAAAAAATGTTCTGTATATAACTTCTGCACTGAGCAAGAAAAAAAACGTAATGCCAGATCAGATTCTACTGAAAGTACTCAATCATTAAGTACTAATATTGAAACAAATAAAGGCAGTAGCAAAAATATTGAGAATAAGCTTCTCTATGATATTCATGACCTTGAAGAGTTGGTAGCAAATAAATTTCAGAATTGCGAAGAGGAGGATTGTCATGCTGAATTTTCAGTGATGGTAGAGCTTGGGAGAGAACCTGAAGAAGAAAAAATGGCATTGCTTGAGGTTAATCAATATGATAAAGAAAATAAAAAATTTTGTGCTATAATTAGCACTTTACTTGAACTTCTTTGTATTGGTTTGTTATTTTTTTTTTACTTATCTTCATTGTTACTGTATAAACTAAGGAAAAAATTCAATGTATACATGTGCGCTCTGTATATAAAAAATTTTTTGTATACAAAAAGAATATAAAATTGTATGCAAAGATATATAACTTATTAGCAATATATTTTATATAATGTATGCTATATAGTTAATAAATTAAAAATATACATTATATTTAATAGTATATGCAGCATACGAACAATAAGTTTAAAATTATGTGCACAATGCACATATAATTTTGATTCTAAATTATTTCTTTAATATAAACTTGAAATAATATCCAGAGGTTTTATCTTGTGATTTGGCCAGAATTAAGCATAATTTATGCCAAAATTTGAAATTACACCCCTGAGTGTTATTTTAAGTTTATACAGTATTCCACTTTTCAGCTTCTTTTTTCATCATCCGCTTTATTATCTACTAAACTTTCTTATTCTCATCTTCGCTTTTATTATTATTAGAATCAGATTATCATTGAGAACTTCAGAGTCTCTATAGAAATAAAATAAATAACTAATTTACAGGATGTGCAACAGCTCATTTAGGTTGCACATAGCGAGATAATCGTTAACATAAACATTTAGAAAACCAGCCCATAAAGCGAATTAGTGAAATACAACCTGCAATTAAACATTTTAAATGTGATGACACAATAGTAATAAAAATTAATCTACAAATGTGACAACTTACAATAGATGTAAAACATTTAATTGCTCATGAACATCCTACCTATACAGAAACCAGAATGCCAACTAATGCTATATTATAGATACAAGAGAATATTAATCATAGTTCAAGAACAATTGATATCTATAAATGGCTTTGTAATGATCAAATAATTAATCTAACAGTACATATTTATGCACAAGTATACTATTAGGTAAATAAACTTTCTAAGAACCTTTATATAACAAATGTAGAAAACTAATTAAAGTCTTCTAAAAACTTCTTGAAACCGTATGATTTAAAAAATTAAAGATACAAGGAAGTTCATTATTGTGAAAACAACTTCATATGTTCACTTAGATTTATTACATTGTTCTTTCAACAACTAGAAAGTAATAGCATAACTGAAATTATTATAGATTCCACATTTAAAACCAACTAAGGAAAGTTTGAATTATTTGTAGTACATTTTAATTGTGGCAGATATGAAGTGCCACTTGCATACTTATATGTAGGCATCAATGCTGCACCTAAAGAATGTCTTTTAAATCCTAAGAATCATATAAACTGACAGGTTGATGTTCTTAAAGATTTAAAGATTTTTTTGCTAATTTACTAAATGAAGGAATTAAATCTGCATTCATACTTTGAATAAAGATTCATGTGAAATTTCTGCAGTTAAAATAGTCTGGCCTCAATTTATTATCTAGCTCTATCTTTGGCATACAGACAGAGCAATAAAATGTAAATTAGAGGAAAAAAAAATTAAAAAAACTCAGTATTCCATACAAAAAGCAGTAGAAGTAAATCAATATCTTAGCTTTTTGATCCAAATTGAGTCCCTAACCCAAAGAACAAAATCATATCTCATATGCTAATAAAATTATAAAAAAAATTAGATTAAGTTAAAAAATATTCAATTTTACACCCACTGATTCCTACAAATACTGACATGTATATTTATCTTATATCAGAAGAGATATATTATAAAAGCATTTTAAAGATTTACAAATTCTGTCAGCAAAATCAAGTGATCAATTTATGGAGCTATTTATAGTCATCTTGATATAACAAAGGTGATTGGAATCTCTTCGCTCAAGCATCATATTCAAAAGCCATCCCAATTTCTAAAACTACTATGATTGTTGAATTACATTGGTGCATCTTGAAATATAAATATAAATATAATTATAAACGTCCATGTTTAAACCACCTAACTCAAATTCTAGTAAAAGAACTAGTCCCGAATATTAAAAATACTTGCCAAAGATTTTATAATAACTGTGATTTTTCATCATGGTGGAGTTAATTTAAATATGAATAGAAATTAGTATCTGAAAAAGAAATAGACACCAATCATCAATATATTACTGATATAGATATTTGGGTTTGTTTTTGCCTTAATTTTATATATAACTCTTATTTTTTATATAAGCACCT